GATATTGAAGAAAAATGTGGGTCGATTTGGGCATGATTTGGGCATCATTTGGGAAGGGGTAAATGATGACGCCCTCGACGTTTCTAACCGATGCCTCTAAATGGAGTTTTATTAATTATGGGTCGATTGGTCTACAGACAAACGAAAGTAAGAAGTTTCACTTCAATTATGCTCACATAGTGCACACACAATTTTTTGTATACATATTGCCTACCCTGAAAAATTTAAGCTTCTGACTTTACATGATACTTTTGGTCCAGATAAAAGACGAGGAGATTCTTTAAATATCGGTTTTTATTTAAAAATCAATATATATATATATATATATATATATATATATATATATATATATATATATATATATATATATATATATATATATATATATATATATATATATATATATATATATATATATATATATATATATATATATATATATATATATATATAAACAAAAATTACATTTTCAAGTGTTAAAATAAGGTAAAAATAAATATATATTAAGAGCAAGCAGTCTATTTTTAAAACATAAGAGAAATATAAAAATAATTATGTAAATATCACTTGGAAAATATATCTTTTTCTATGAGTTTGCGGAAAGTATGCTTATCCACAAGAATTTTATTGTGGAAAGTTTATTATTGCGACCTCAGACAGGTGAAAATATGCTATCTACCCGTGCGATACTACTTACAGTAATAACACACGGTAAGAAAAACACAGCGAAAATCCATATTACTTAGGCAACAATCGTTGGATAATAAGCTCTCACCATTGCAGGTGTACCTAATAAAATTTCAACATTTAAGAGTTCATTTCACTAGTCCAAAAAAGTAGCAAAATAAGCGTTCGGCATTTAACGTTTTATGTAAAATTGGCTAGGTATTTTTACACAAATGAAGAAGGAAATTGAAGATAAAGGATTATACTATATCCGTATTGTAGCACATTTTTAGACAACTTCTTTATTTTTAAGATTTAAAATATTCCTTATGTTTGGACTAAATTTTCTGGAAAATAAAGACATAATTTAAAATTCCGTTACAATACAGAAATAGACTGAAGTTTTGTGATTACAGTTATATATATAATTTATATGGTTTTGTAACAACTTGCTCGCTATTTTATGGCAAATGATGAAGCTCTGCAAACCTTAATCAAGCCTTAATCAAAGCACGTGTGTTTGGAATTTTGAGTGTGACTTAACCTTAGATCTAAGGACTTAACACGACAGTAGCGGGCCAAACCTTAGGCAGATTTCTGAAATATAATATATATTTCCTTCGGCCACACACCCGCTTTACCCGACCCCTGAGAGCGGCCCGCACAGTACAGCGTAATAGCACAGATTAGGTATACTATATGTATACAGATAAAAATCTTATCCCTAATTCGTGGTACGAAAATTGTTTTTTATGACGATGTGCAAACGAGTAAAATCTCCTGTGCGCAAAAATAAACTCGCGTAAAATAACAATAAACGGCGTAATAGAGAGATATCGCTAAACCGAATAGCGTGCATGGACGTTAATAAGGGTGTTATTTCCTTTACGTGAGGTGGTATTAACTCTCTTCATTTATAGTTATCGGATCGGAAAGGATTTTGTTCTCGTCGCGTCCGCTATTTAAACTTAACCTAACTTTGAATTTAAAACTTTGAAATTGTTTTGTTTACTAGGTATTTTAAAACTAAAGGGCTGAAGTGCTTATTTCCAGTGCTTTATTGTTCAACATCTGCCAGTGGGTTTAGGGCAACAAGCAACAAATTCTCTTAGAAGGGCTAAGTCGACATCTGCTGTAAACCTAAGCATCTTTATAGGTTCTTTAACATTGGAAGAGGTGGAATCCATATTTTGAGCCATATTTATTTAATTAAAACTAATCCCAGCTACTTAAATATCAAATTACCTAATAAAACTAAAGTAATAATTCAAAACCATAGACTTAAAATAAAATATAGACTACACTATTTACATCTCAACGCGGACAAACAACCTTTTTTGTACACATGTTTACTTCTGGGTACAGTCGACCGAGCCTTCCTCATCCAGCCTATGTTGTCACGTCTTTAATATTATCAATATTTTTTTTCTTGTTATACACATATATTGAGATATTAATACTACAGTTTAATAAAGTAGGTTTTAATATTCCATAGATGTATTAAATAGTTCTTATACTACTAAATTATAAGTCGGATACTATTTAAAAAGGATAAGTTCTTTACAATATGGCAACACCGATTAGAGGCGAGGGAGCCTATTCATTCATTTATTACCTTGTAGTACGTGTCGCACGTGTGCGGTAAAGCTTTGTTGCCGCTATCTCCCCGGCTGTATTACCGCATTTTCTTAGCTTGTAGTCCTTAAGAGTTTATTTTATTGACTTTTTCTGTTCAAAAACTATAAAATATGGTTCGCCAGTGCCAAATTTGCAAGAAATTTGACTTAAATAATCCATTTAAGTCTTGAAACGACTTTTGACCGGTAGGCAACTCTCAATTTACCAATTGGGAGTCAGTGGCGTTGTTGTAGAAAGGCGCTTATTTAGATAATATTTTAGTAAAATATAAAATCTGAATTTTTTCTCTTACATTACATTATTTACTTACTTACATTGTAACAAAATCATAATTATACCCCTGTTAATAATTAATAATGTTTTTATTAAAAATATATTCCGGTTTATTCTAAAATTATCTTCAGAATCTAAAATAACATACAAGAATTTTAAAATGATATTATATTATGAAACAATATTTTTTAATATACCGGGTCGTCTCAAAAGTGGCTCAACCCTATAACTTTTTTATATTTTTCAGATAAAAAACAGATTTGTATCTTAGTAGGTATATGACATAAATTAGGATTTATTGACGTATTCAATTGTTTTTGGTCTCTTCCTGTTTCACCGAAATGATTACATCTTTTGATTTTTAAAGGCACCCTCGGTATATTGCTACTTTATTCGATAAAAATGACACTCTGAATAGAATGACATATCATATGTCAACTTTTGACATTGTCGCTTAAAAACATATCCTATTTTAAATTTCAATCCAGTTTTTTTCAATCCACTAAGTTTTAATCAAGGAGCCTTGGAAAAATAGTTTTGATCGTCTAATAGATTTCGTGTCTTGTCTAGGCCGGTTAAAAGATGTACAAATCGTATTTTTAATCATACATATGTCAATTTTTTCAAATGGAACAAGGGTGACTCATTAGCATATTTGGAAAAAGCATTTTTTATGAATATATTGATACCACACACTTGGTATTTCGAGTCAAATTGTCGTTATGAATCGCGTGTTACAATTACAATTAAACCATATGCGAAAATGTCAAAAGTTGACATATGATATGTCATTCTATTCAGAGTGTCATTTTCTATCGAATAAAGTAGAAATATACCGAGGGTGCCGTTTAAAAATTAAAAGTTATAGCCATTTCCGGTGAAACAGGAAGTGACCAAAAACAATTGAATGCGTCAATCAATCCTAATTTATTTCATATACTAACATACTAAATCTTGTTTTTTTTATTTGAAAATATAAAAAAATTATGGGGGATGAGCCACTTTTGAGACGCACCCGGTATAATAAAGACAGTACCGAGTTAAATAAATGTAGTTTTTATTTTATCCACTTCCTATCACCTTCCTTGCTTTAATGGAACAGATTTATGTTTTCTCTAATTTACATAATAAGACATCACTTAACCAGAAAAAAAATTACAACAATCATATTTTTTTTCTCTCCCTGTCGCCGATTCTATTATATCTGTGGAATAGATCCTGTTTTGATTAATATTAGGGGTTGTAAATGTTTGACTAAAATTAATAATTTATTATTAATTTCAAAAATTACTTAATTTCGATTATAAAATTTCTTCTATAACGTGTATTTTATTATTTTTATCCTTTTTGGACTCTAAATTGTTTTTTCTAAACTTTTATTTAAAAAACCTGTCCTAAATCTTAATAAAATATAAAAAAGTTTAAATACGATATATTTTTAATTTAATTATAGCTTCATTAAAATAAAAAAATTACCCGGCTATGATACGGAGAGTTCAGGTGTACTTGAGAAACGAAAGAGAGTGTTGTGTTTCTCGGCAGAGTCGTCAGTCGTCAGGGAACGAGCGTTACGACAGAGACAACCTATCTATCGCTCGTGTCGCACTCGTTATAACCTAAAACAATAACAAGACAGTGTCTGACCGCATGTTCCAGCTATTTATGAATGAGATGCTCAGTCTATATTTTATTTTAAGTCTATGTTCAAAACAATTCAAACATAACCTAAAATAAAAGATCTCGCCGCTCGCCGGCCGGCCCCGGTTGTCAAATGTACCCGCACATGCCCATTTAAGCAATTTTTGAACGTTATTTAGAAATAGCGCTTGATGAAATTGATCCGCAAATTACGTCAGGCGGTAACGTTATTAGCGGGTGTTATTATATATATTATTGTAATCATGATAAGGTACGCGTAAATACTGCACGACGCTATTCGGTTTTCCGATATCTCTCTAATAACTGTGCCGGTCAGGCGCGGTGCACAATTTTAGAGGCCATAAGTGGGCGTGCTATGTGCGCAAACTATCTTAACTAGTGCCCGATTCCGAAAATTGGAACCACGAAAAACAATAGAGAAAAAAACAAAGTTTACAATCTGTATGATCTGTGGTAATAGACTCTAAAGCCGGAGTTTCTTGCATCCGAAATCCGATGGTACGACATCCGAAATTTGAAGTTATTCTGTGAAATAAAAAAAGCCTGTCACATACATCCGAAAGTTCGTTCCGAAATTTGACAGTTTTGACATTTAGACCTGTCATTCCTATGTATTATTATTATGTATTATTCCATATATTATTGGAGAAACACTTATACCTCGCCAAATATCCCGAAATTGCCCACTTCCCACTAAACTTGTTTTTAAAAACCAATGTTTTCAAATAAAGTGAGGTTAAAAAACACACGATATCGTACAAAAGTTAAACAAAATTTAACTTTATACGACGTCGGACGATTAGTTAAAAATATCGGATAAAAATTGGTGTCAAAATATTTCCACCAATAGGAGCACCGTCGGATCGTTGTGTCAATCTAAGGTTGTGTCATCGGATTTCGGATGCATGGGACTCCGGCTTTAAGTGTATAGATAAATGTGGGTGTAGGTAAAGTATAGTACGTAATTCGTTATGTAAATGGATTACTGCTCTCGCTTAAGCCTAGTTGACACTGTCAAGTATACTTGGATCAAATAAACTTGGACGCCGCGCGCAGCTTGGATCGTATAAACCGATTTTAAATCAGTTGGTTCGATCCAAACAGCATCCAAGTGAGACGCGCGCAGTATCCAAGTGTATTCGATCCACGTACACTTTGGCCGTAAGTTTGTTCCAACATAGGTAGTAGAGAAAATAGTTTAGCGAACGATAACTTTTGCGTTACAAAAATTGTAATCGTTCGTAAACCATGTTCGGAACGATGATTTCGATACCAACCTAAAAACAAGAATCAAAAGAATTAACCTGCGTATTAAGACTGTGTGTCAAGTGATTGTCGTTTTCTTTACGTTTCCCTACGTACCAAACATCATGGCACGAATGGTTGTCGTCTCGGCGCACTCCACTCAGTGATGAGGTGTTCTGGTGTTTCCCTATTTTTCCTCACAGAATCTACATTCGCCGTTGTTTCTTAGCTTCACTCTATTAAGGCGTTCGTTCAGGAGATAATGTCCTATTAAAATCCCCGTTACATTTCGAAGATTGTTCAAAATCTTCAATAAAAATCTTTGATTTTTCTCGATCGTATGTTCTGGGAAATTTCTTTGAGTGTCATAGAGCATTGGGGAGTTCTTCAGTTCCGCTTTAAGTTGGTTTCGACTTGGAAAGCAGAACAGTTCTGATCCAGTCAGTGGAGTGTTGGTTCCTTTTCTAGCTAGATCGTTTGCTTTTTCGTTGCCTTCTCTCTCTTGGTGAGCTGACACCCAGAGTAGGAGGACTTTATTATATTTTTTGGTATAGTAACAGAACTGTCCAAATCGACATATGCGTATAAATCCGATGCCGGCGGTCCCAATTTCTGTATTGGAACAAACCTCGTGTCAACCAGACTTACTATTACGCCTACGTTTACTATTACGCCTCTCGTGCGCAGCTTTTTCATTCATGTGTAATATACTATTAACAAGTAATTACGTAATATACTATGATATATGGCCGTAAATTTATCACTGACCATTATCAAGTATGAACTAATCATCAATATCTAAAACTACCGAGCTTATACCTACTATATTAGAGAAAGAGATTCATACGTGACGGAGATGAGTGCATTGAGTTGACCATTTGTCAAATCTTTACTTATAATTGCAAAAGCATAATCTTATATCGCGGGTGATCTGGCAAATGCTCCTATGTGCCATTTTTTTCAAAATTGAGATTATTTTAGCATAACGTTCTATGAGTCATTATGCACGTATTGACAAAAGGTAATATCTGAAAATAAAAAAAATAACGGCACAATTTAAAGAAAAGAAAACCTCCTATGTGAAACCAGCTGTTATTCTGGTCACACAAACTCTTATCTACTTATTTTGATTAAAAAGCAAAAGCTCCTATCTATAATCAGATGATATTAAGAAGCAATTTCTCCTATCTTCATAATAAAACTATGAAAGAAAATTATCCTATCTTACTTTTCCCACAAGCAAAACGTCCTATCCTTTATAATCCTAAAATACAAATAATCCTATGTGCCATTTCATCAAAAGCAAAAAATCCTATCTGATTTAATAAACAAGTTTACAATTTAATTGCTTCCAAATAAATAGTATTTAATAGAAAACATACATTATAATGTATTTTCAATAGCCCAGCTTCTAAGTCGTTCCGTTTTTGAAAATACCGTTTCTATTGCCTCCGGTAAGGTTATTGTTTCAGTAGATAGGAACATTTGCCAGATCACCCGCGATATAGTCTGTCCAAAGAGATAATATGACAGTAACAGTTGTCTGTCATTTTATTTCATAGTTAAATTGTATTTTCGGTCATTTTTTGCATGCCGTCTGTCGAAGTCTTTTCTGACTCGTTGGACAGATTTTAGTTACAAAGACAATATATTCAAGATTGTTATTTATGAATAAATGTAAAATGTTATTTAATAATAAATGTAACGGTGTATAATGCATTATACGTTGTCTCGATACATTAAATTCATTTGTATCTCTACTTATAAAATATAAAACACGCAATTTCCACAAGCTCATAGGAAAAATCATATACCTAATTCGTGCAAAAAAGTATCACTTTCCGTACTAACACCGCAAATAACTTTTTCATAAACAAAATAACTAGAATTGCAGCAGTTTATGCCATGGCAATGACAAAGTTATTTAGTAGGTTAACTCAAAAGTTTATTATATTTTCTGTCATGTAAGTCATCTGTTGAACAGTTGTCTGTGTGTTGAACCCTATTCTCTTTACAATTTCACACAGCTCCAATAGTTTTAGATTGACATCTCAGAGAAATTATATTTCTCTGATGTTAATATTATCTAATAAGTGTTGTTTCATTTGTACTTTTTGTATATTCGAATTCGTATAATGTCAACTGTGATAGATCAAGTATTTTCCTTATATAATCCAAAAAAGATAAACTTTCACAATTATCAAAAAATATCGAAATAATATCAAAACAGTAATGAGTATAATCTGGAAAAGCCTCTGTACTAATATGTGGCCAAAAGTTATCGACCTTTTTAAATTTTATATATTTTCGTTCTAAAATTCTTTCTAAATCAATATTTCGACTACTTGATATTAACAAATAAAGTTTATATTTTTTCGAATGTTTAATATTAATTGCCAAAAAATCTCTTGCTTGCGCTAACTTCTCTAAATTATTAACAACTAGAAGCAAATCTTTGGAACCTTCCTCATACAGATAAACCCTCTTTTTTACTGAATATTTTACGTTATCCTTGTAATATAACTTATTACTGTTTCTTTGCAAGAGAAACGATTCTGGAAGTGAATATATATGACTGGTTATTATGTGATACTCGGTGTCAAGCGATGTATATTTGATATCTTTATATAGATAATTTATTGCAGAATATATACCACCTTGATGAACAAAACCAAAAAATACCACAAGCAATAAATTTAAAGCAAACCAAACTTTAAAATAAATATATCGAGTTCTCTTGACCGTTGTTGTTTGACTTTTCTCATTAAGCGAATATTCTGGTACTCGTACCACAGCTTTATCCATCTCCGGTAAAATATTTAAACCATGCAGGTATACCAGAGGTAATACGATGGGAATTATAAATCGTGCTTCCTGGTGAGGGAAAACTGACAGCAGTAAGACCGGTGTAATGAAGGACATTATCATCACCATTTTTATACTTCGGATGGACGGCAGCAAGTGAAACTGTTTTCGAAAGAATCTAAAAAATAACAGGTGTGATTCATTAAGGTCTTTTTATTAAAAGGCAATATAATGGCCCAAAAGTCATTTGATGTCATTTCATTATCAAAATATTCATATTAAAAATAATGGTAGCTGAATACTACATACAGCATGGATTAAAAATATAGCTATAACAGCGTACAGCTACTGAACTTCAGTGCAACTAAAGCAGAGTTTATACTGTGTCACTTTGGATGTACAACCGAAATGAATCATTCAGGTTGAATTCATCCAAATTGAACATCCTTGTTTACATATTTTCATCCAGTAGCAGCAGTTCATTGTTTCATCTTCCGCAGGCTGCCACCTCTCCAAGTGTTTTTTATATCGAGGTTGGCCGCACGAGTCAGCGTCGGCTGTTTACATTTTTCACTTGCCGTTCAATCTGGATGAATCAACGGTTCGTTGAACGCTCTTTCAACTTAAGCAGAGTTTACACTGTGTCACTTTAGATGTACAACCAAAATTAATCACTCAGATTGAATTCATCCAAATCGAACATCCTTGTTTACATATTTTCATCCAGTTCGCAGCAGTTCACTGTTTTATCTTCAGCAGGCTGCTACCTCTCCCAGCATCTTCTATATCGAGGTTGGCCGCACGGGTCGGCGTCGGCTGTTTACATTTTTCACTTGCCGTTCAATCTGGATGAATCAACGGGTCGTTGAACGCTCTTTCAACTTAAGCAGAGTTTACACTGTGTCACTTTAGATGTACAGGGTGGACCATTTTGGTTGTTTCTATAGGGTATCTAGGAAACCGTGAGAAATATTCAAATTTTGATACTGCAGTCTCGGGTTCTATTTTTGAAAAAATTACAATGGCGCAAACGGATCGTGGATATCTTAATCGGTTTCGAAGCTACAGGGGGATTCTCAAATTTTGTACTTTTTGAAGATGTTCGATAGTTTGTTTATTTCAGCAACCACGAAAAAATTAATTATACATTCTAAAGGCACTTTTCTGTGTAGAATGCAGTGGTGTAGTCAGACTTTTTTCGAAAAAAATATTTTTTGAGATATTAACTATACTTATGTTTTTTTAAATAGAACACCCTGTATATTTTTAAATTTTCTAATTCAGCTTGGCATGGCCTTCTCGAAAATGTATAACACTCTATATTTATTTTCACTATTAACCTCAATATTTCAAATATTTCTAAAAATATCCACTTAGTAGATAGTAGGCCGCGCCGAGTAACAAAGTAATCGGTTGTCATGGTGATCGGGACATACCTTTGATGGATGCGTGACATTTCATTTCAACAGATTGAAGTGTGTGTATTTTAAATAATAAAAAATGAGTAAATTTGAAAATTTTGAGCAATATAATATGTTAGAATGTTATATTGTGTCTAACAAACATAAGCAAATGGCCGCTAATTTATATTTTGAGCGGTATCCAGAGCGCGAGCAACCAAACCCAGCTATGTTTAAAAGGTTAGAAGATATTTTAATCAATTTTGGATCTTTTCAAAAAACCCGTCAGAAAAATTATCAGAAAGAAGATGAATAAAATCAATATATTAATGTCCTCGGAGCCGTAACACTAGATCCAACAACATCAAGTAGAGCTATTGAAATGCTGTTAGCGGCGGCGTGCGAGACGGTACCAACTCTGTCTAGATAATAATGGGCAGCAGTCTGAACATTTAATGTAGTCTTTGTGTTTTTATTTTTTTATATTAACTGAGAAGCCCGGTTGAAGTAACCTCTTGAGTTTACATTAAAATATGTTCTTTTGTTTCTGTCACACTTATTTTTTATTTGCTTCGTATTGTTCGATTTTATTTAATTGCTAATTCATGTATTCGGCTCCGAGGACATTAACATATTGATTTTCTTCATCTTCTTTCTGATAATTTTTCGGACACGGTTTTGAAAAGTTCCAAAATTGATTAAACTATCTTCTAACCTTTTAAGAATGGCTGGGTTTGGCTGCTCGCGCTCTGGATACCGCTCAAAATATAAATCAGCTGCCATTTGCTTATGTTTGTTAGACTCAATATAACATTCTAACATATATTTCTCAAAATTTTCAAATTTACTCATTTTTTTATTATTTAAAATACACAAATTTCAATCTGTTGAAATGAAATGTCACGTATCCATCAAAGGTATGTCCCGATCACCATGACCACCGTTTACTTTGTTACTCGGCGCGGCCCACTATCTACTAAGTGGATATTTTAAGAAAAATTGAAATGTTGAGGTTAATAGTGAAAATAAAATAGAGTGTTATATATTTTCGAGAAGCCCCATGCCAAGCCGAATTAGAAAATTTAAAAATATACAGGGGGTTCTATTTAAAAAAACATAAGTATAATTAACATCTCAAAGAATATTTTTTTCGAAAAATCTGACTACGCCACTGCATTCTACACAGAAAAGTGCCTTTAGAATGTATAATTTATTTTTCCGTGGTTGCTGATATAAACAAACTATCGAACATCTTCAAAAAGTACAAAATTTGAGAATCCCCCTGTAGCTTCGAAACCGATCAAGATAGCCACGATCCGTTTGCGCCATTGTAATTTTTTCAAAAAAAGAACCCGAAACTGCAGTATCAAAATTTGAATATTTCTCACGGTTTTCTAGATACCCTATAGAAACAATCAAAATGGTCCACACTGTACAACCAAAATTAATCACTCAGATTGAATTCATCCAAATCGAACATCCTTGTTTACATATTTTCATCCAGTTCGCAGCAGTTCACTGTTTCATCTTCAGCAGGCTGCCACCTCTCCCAGTATCTTCTATATCGAGGTTGGCCGCACGGGTCGGCGTCGGCTGTTTACATTTTTCACTTGCCGTTCAATCTGGATGAATCAACGGTTCGTTGAACGCTTCTTTCAACAAAAGTAGGAAGACCGTCAACTTGTTTCATCGTTCAATTTTAGTGTACACTTTGGACGAAACAGCGACGAAAGGCAATACTTTTGTTGAAAGAGCGTTCAACGAACCGTTGATTCATCCAGATTGAACGGCAAGTGAAAAATGTAAACAGCCGACGCCGACTCGTGCGGCCAACCTCGATATAGAAAACACTGGGAGAGGTGGCAGCCTGCGGAAGATGAAACAGTGAACTGCTGCGAACTGGATGAAAATATGTAAACAAAGATTGGATGAATTCAATATGAGTGATTCATTTTGGTTGTACATCCAAAGTGACACAGTGTAAACTCTGCTTTTGTTTCATGGTTCAATTTTAGTGTACACTTTGGCTGGAACAGTCATGAAAGGCAATTTATACTTATCACTTTGGATGATTCATCCAAGTTGTACATCCAAAGTGACAAATGTAAATGAGCCTTAAGCCGCTGGCGATTGCTGTACGTTGAAACCAGTGGCGTATGGCGTAGCTATCATATAGGGCAGTTCCAGAAACTTGGGACCTCGCAGAGCCCTTGTTAACCTTATTTATGATAAATATTTTATTAAATTAGCAATAGATTAAAATCGTCATAATTTTATAAAATAAATCACATGCAAGTACATACACACTTGCATTATTGTTAAAAAAATATATATAATAAGAAAGCAGACAGCAGTATCGAGTATCGACTGACTAGTGAGAAAGTAATTCCACTAGTTCTTAGATTTTCTATAATAAGAAATATATATTTAATTTATATTTAGTTTTTTACTCTCAGGGGCCCCGAAAAATATCTTGACCCGAGGTCCCCAGTTGTCAAGCTACGCTACCGGTCGTAACCATATAAGATTATTATTTATATGGTTGACCCCAAGATACGGTATTCCAAAAACTGCGGCGAGTAACATGAACCATAAAAATGACAATGATCTCCAGTCAGAAGCCAACTCCGTTGTCTTTTCGATCGTATGTTACGTGGAGTCAGTTAGATGAGATAAGTAAATATTTAAGTAGCATTGCAAATTTCAATATAAAAAATAACGTCAGCCGGCGGATACTGAAGAAGGTCCTTGTAAATGAGCATGAAATCGCGCCAAATAAAACTAATATGAAATATGTTGAGCGATATGAAGTCATTGAAAATTAATCTAACATATCTCAAAAATACATTAAAGTCCCCCACAGACGTTTTTTTTACATAGGCGGTCTGTACAAACTGGATTTGTGCAGACATATCGGAACGTTTGAGGGAACTAACTGGCCTGACCTGAGCAAAATCAAACACTGAATTTGGTATGTGCAAACTTAGAAGCTTGAACTTTTGTGCTTTCAGAGTTCATTTTTGGTCTGTCTATTATTAACCTTGTGGTATACCAGTTCTAGAGTAAAAAAGTAAATAAATAAAATGCCGAACTTAAATAAAAAGTTTTTAGCGTTTTGTGAACAGAATGCAACAAAGACTGTATTTCGTCATGTTCACTATACAGGGTTCGGCAATAGTGCGTCGGGCATCTGTAGCTCCTAGAATAAAAAGCTTGGGAATTTTGTTTAAGTGCAAACCTAGTATGTACGAAGATGTATTTCAGGAAAATATTTTAACTTCTATCGGGTGGCTCAAAAAAGTCTGAATGGATTGAGATAATTTTTTTAAATGGATATTATTGAATTTTTGGCTTCCTTTCAGATCACTTTATATAATCCTAAGATATGAGTAAATATACCGTATGATCGAATAAAAATGGCGTTAGCGATGGCTATGAAATGAACATCATTGACGTTTCCCATATAAATTTACATATAAAATGACAGCGATCTTCATTTCATAGCCATCGTTGACGCCGTTTTTTTTTGATGATACGGTATTTCGATAGTTCCAGTTGGTTTCATATATTAATAAATAAATAAAAAAATATATTTTTTTCAGCCATTCTTAAAAAAAATATTAAAAATACAACAACTGCCTTAAAATCAAAACTATATTAGATATTTACTTTAGACGGTCTGCACTTACTTTGCTATAAATATGGTAGTCGTAATTCATACAGGATGTTCAAAATTCTACACCAAGCTTTCTAAAATATAAAATAATTTCATCCTGTATGATTTACAAAACAAAACATTCTGTATGATGTATGATTTAGGTACTATTACCATATTTATAACAAAGTAAGTGCAGACCATCTAAACTAATATAATTTTGATTTCAAGACAGTTTTTTATTAATTTTTTTAAGAAAGGCTGGAAAAATATTTTGTATTTATTTATTAATATCACTGAAATTATCGAAATATATTTACTCATATCTTAGGATTATGTAAACTGACCTGAAAGGAAGCCAAAAATGCAATATTATACAGGGTGTGTATATCAACAGAGTGTTGTTTTAATATGTGAAATGTGAACGTGTGTGTAGATTAATTTTAATTGTATCTGTCTGATGATGCTCGTATGAGCGAAACACGTGTCACTCTTTAATATTATATTAACGTTGAGACCGAGACTTTGAGTCTTTTTTCTGCCTTTTTTAATTTAAACAAGGTCTCTTTGAGAAGAATGGATGCCTTCTTTAAATTATACAGGTAGGGTTGCCACCTTTTTGACAAAAGAAAACCGGCCTTCCAAAAAAAACTAAAAATTTCAGTCAACCATGTCAACATAGCATTCATACCCGAAAAATTTTTGGGTGCCACGCCCCTTTTCTGAGTCTTTTTAGTCTTTTATTTAACAGTATGCGATTTTTAGTCAAAAAAACTCAAAAATGTAAAAAAAAATTCCGATTAATTTTTTAAATGTACCTAAATGCAAAAAAAATTAAAACCAGGAAGTAAAACTTTATTGCCAAAATCTATCGGATTATCGGATAAATATACCTACTTGTTTCTAAATTTTAAAATGATATTTTAAATTTGATTTTGCAGCTTTAATAAGTTATTCTTTGTTACTTAATGATAAATAAAAGGCTGTACTTAAACTGCCGTTAAACGGTAGCTTACTAAAATGCCGTTAATAGGTATGACGTCGTTGATGTGACGCACTTGACGGCTTTATGAAATATAGGAATTTTATAAGGACTAACCAACGCTATCCACCCCACCAAATAACCAACTTAACCAACGCAACTAACCTCGACACTGATAAAAAATAAAAAACAAATATAAATTAGTAAAAATCAACCAACCCCACCAAATAACCAACTAACCAATGAATTAACACCCTCCAAATAACCACGCTAACCAACCCGCCAAATAACTAAACCAATCCAACCAAAAAGTATGAAACCAATGCAATAAGATCACGCTATAAGCAAAAAAAATATAAAAAAGTCTTGGTCGGCGTGAGATTTGAACCACAGACCATCCGCTTACGAAGCGATAGCCTCAGCCACTAACCTACAGGTGCTCTTGCAAAAAGCTTAAGGCTAGGCATTACTTTCCGCCGACATGAACGACGTCACAATATCTATTAACGGCATTTTAGTAGGCTACCGTTTAACGGCTGTTTAAGTACATCGTAAATAAAACGACAGTAAGCCGGTAAGTTACCGACAGCTATCGGTACGTGTTTGTATATAGTAAACATGTGTTGATTGTTGTTGTCATAGTTACCGATCGGCCCTATGGCAGATATCGCAAATTTGTACCGACGATTCTCGGTATCTCTACCGTGAGGTTAACAAGGGCATGGTAGAGATACCGATTTTCGTCGGTACAAATTTGCGATATCTGCCATAGGGCCGATCGGTAACTATGACAACAACAATTAACACATTTTTACTATATACAAATACGTATCGAGAGCTGTCGTAACTTACCGATACCGATGATTGTCTATGCCATGATTATGATACCGATGATTGTCCACACCGATGATTGTCCATCAATGCGAATGTACAGAATAGCGCCCCATGGGCGCTATTCTGTACAATCGTCGGTATCGGTAAGTTACCGACAGCTATTGGTACGTATTTGTATATAGTAAAAATGTGTTAATTGTTGTTGTCATAGTTATCGATCGGCCCTATGGCAGAAATCGCACATTTGTACCGACGAAAATCGGTATCTCTACCATGCCCTTGTTAACCCCACGGTAGAGATACCGATAGTCGCCGGTACAAATTTGCTATATATCCTATTAATGACAGCTAAAACTATGACAACGACAATTAACACAACGCTCATTGGCCGTACTTGGCCGTACGTACCGATAGCTGTCGGTAACTTACCGATACCGACGATTGTACAGAATAGCGCCCCCTGGCCTTAAGCTTTCGGCAAGAGCACCTGTGGGTCAGTGGCTGAGGCTATCGCTTCGTAAGCGAATGGTCCGGGTTCAAATCTCACGCCGACCAAGACTTTTTTATATTTTTTTTTACTTATAGCGTGATCTTATTGCATTGGTTTCACTCTTTTTATTTGGATTGGTTTAGTTATTTGGCGGGTTGGTTAGCGTGGTTATTTGAAGGGTGTTAATTCATTGGTTAGTTGGTTATTTGGTGGGGTTGGTTGATTTTTACTAATTTATATTTGTTTTTTATATTTTTTATCAGTAAGTGTAGTTGTAGAGGTTAGTTGCGTTGGTTAAGTTGGTTATTTGGTGGGGTGGATAGCGTTGGTTAGTCCTTATAAAATTTCTATATTTCATAAACCCGTCAAGTGCGTCACATCAACGACGTCATACCTATTAACGGCATTTTAGTAAGCTACCGTTTAACGGCAGTTTAAGTACAGCCTAAATAAAATTCTGAACAGGAAAGCTGAATGTTAGAACGTGAATAGATGTGATGAATTGAAACTACTTCTCCATCTCACTAGATGGCGCCTTGTATTGCTATTTAATTACTATTTAATTACAATAATGATTGGAGAGTTTGATTTTCGATTTGGTGATGATGTTGTGGTTGTCTGGTTGTTGATATGAATGATATGCTAAGAAAACCGGCTTTTTTTGGATGCTAACCGGCACCCGGCCTTGTTAATGGAAAACCGGCCAGGTGGCAACCCTATATACAGGGTGTTTCATTAAAAAAAATACATCCTCGTACATACTTTCGATTTGCACTTAAACAAAATTCTCAAGTTTTTGCACCTGCACAGTCAGCCTCTACTAAAGAACTGAAAACTGAAAGTCTGTGAGGGTCTTTATACATAAAATAATACATACAGAAAAGCTAGAAGCAGATATCTGAAAGTACTGTACAAAAACTGATAATCTTATTATATAAAATCAACATGTTTATATACTTACAAGTAAATATATTGTCCCAGAGCATGCAAAGCACTAATTCCCAAGATATTAAAGAGCAAAGGAATATTTATCAATAAATGTAAATATTGGGGATGTAGACCATGTTTTGCTAAATTTTTTGATTGTGCATTATATCTAATAAAATTAAGTGGCGTAACAACAAAATTATTAATTGAAACATCTAACATTCCAATTTCACCCCACGTAATATAACCATAATAAAAAGAATCAATAATGATATTAAAAATAAGAGCTGGTATACAACATAAGGCAAAGAATATAATACGAGAATGAAACTGTAATACTGAAACCCTATTAATCCCTGTGCCCCTGTAAATCCAAAAAAATACAGGTACAACAGCGAATCCTATAAATGTAGGTCTATTAAATATTCCAAATATAGTTATAGTAGCTATTAGTAATCCATTTGTATATGTATCCGAAACCAGATACAATTTTAACTTATGAAATTTTGCTTTTTCAATGCAAGTAGTACTCTTATCATATCTGTATTTTAGGTACTCCTTTTTCCGTAATAGTTCATTCGAAAACGTTTGACTTTCACAGACAAAATACAATAATAATGCAAAGAATATTATTTCAAGGCTATTAGAAAATGTCCTGGAACCAAAAACTAAAATTACAAATGATGTATTAAGAACTATAAGTCTAGTTTTGAATTTTTCATTATTATTTAAGCATATTTGATATAAACAATAATCGACTAGAAATGATAATAATCCTACTAAAAATCTAGGCAGCATAAGTAAAAAATATGGAGTGACTACATTCAGTGATAAATACTCCAATGACCATTTATTAATATCTCTTAGAAAAATATAGCTCATTCCAGTAGTGAAATATGGAATAGTCATGCCTCGTATCGGAAAAGTGGTATTAAATTCCCAAGGTGGACTATTTTCTACATCAAATATTTTTCCTGAAATAAATCTGATAAATGAAAAAACATTGTGCATTAAATTAGTTAACTCACCTGCTAGTACTTCAACCGATTGAAAATACTCATCTGGATGTATATATCCAATCTGGGGTGCAAAAATTAAAAGTATCCTAAAAGCTCTTAAGCCATAAAGAAATATGTCATGAGAATTTCTATAAAATCCCATTTTACCCATATAGCCTTTTATATTGTAATTATTTCATTCTATTTAACTTTTCTTGATTTTTCACGAATTAAACATATTAATTAATTCCACAGTTTAAAATAATTTGAGAAGTTCAGAACATAAAAGTTCAGAGAAACTAACATTACAATAAATTATTTTCATTTGTTAGGTATGTTTTTAAAGTTTAAAGATACATTCTTGGGTACATTTTACATTTTACAAATGACTATATGACATTTTATAAACAATCTATCAATCTATAAACAATCGTAAAACAATCAATATCCCCTTAAAGTTAGGCAACCAATAATTATCCAAGTCTTAATCATATATAAATGTTAATTATTTATCAACCTAATATGTAATATATGATATGATATGATAATATGGCCATAAAATTGACCAAGACGTCTATATTTATTTATTGTGGTCGGCTTTGGTGGCGGAATCAATGGGCCGGATTGAGAAACAAGAAGAAAATAACGAAGAATGTAGAACCATAGATAAAGGTCGGCCTTGTGGTCGAAATGATTGCGTCGCATTCTGGTCGCATTCTAGTAGACGCAAGGTCGCCGGTTCGATTCCGGCCTCGGACATGGGTGTTAAATGTGTGTGTGAGTCTGTATTTGTCCGATTTTAAACGCTAATTAAATATTAAGAAATAAGCTGGCTGAATGTCGTAATAGACAAGTGGCCAAAAATAGGAAAAAAAAAACCATAGATAATGAAACAAGTTTAGATTGGAAAGTGCCCATAAGGACAATGTAAACCAGCGTTGTGCTTTTGATGTAAGGCAGATGTACTAGAATTGGTTACAAAATTGTAATAAATTGTAATAGATTCAAATTTCTTTCAAATGTTATATCAAGCTGTTATTACTGAAATTTGAAACAGTTTTTGAAAACATTTTTTTTAACCAAACAAATAAAACAATTAATTTTCAAAAAAATAAAATTTATTCTATAAAAACAAAAAAATTACAAAAATAAAACAGACTAAAAATGAACTAAAAAAACTTTATAAACGTAAGAACATTATAATAATTTAAAATGTAAGGGTATCAGGTTCTTCACCCTGTGCGTTTGAATTAAAATTTAGGCTTTAAAGCCCCGTTCTCAGAACAACGTCGTGTCGCGGGCGACACAGTTTGACATTTCAAACAACCAATGGGAGCTGTACTAAATTTAAAATTGACACTATTGACAGCTGTTTGAATTTTGTACAAATCTCATTGGTCCTCTTGACGTGTCGCTGTTCTGAGAACGGGGCTTGAGATGCTCCGAGGGTTGAAAATTATAATATTTGGTACTGGATAAAAGAGACTTAGTATGTAAAAGAGCATCAAATGTACTTTTAAATCTGTTCCTGTTTTTTGTTTTAATTAAATTTAAATCTGAAAACTTCCTTTTAGCGGCCGCCGAAGAATTTGGGAGAGACAATAGCGCTCGAACAAAAATCGTCAAAAAAAAGTTGAAGGTGATTTTTTTCAAATAATTGTAATAGATTATAGGGATTTTTGCTATTGTAGTAATAGCGTAATAGCAATTGGTTAATTGTAATAGATCTAGTACAATTGTAATAGCAAGCACAACGCTGATGTAAACACTATTTGGCGCTATTCTTGCAACGGTCGCGACCCAAAACTTTTGAAGATTTCGGAGCGGTTCGGCTTTTTCCGGAATTATATCGCCAAATATTGTTTATTCAAATTTATTATTATTTTCGTTTAATTTTATAAATAAAATAGAGTGTGTTGCATACAAGAAACTTTATTTTATATAAGGACGCATGTATGAAATACCTATGAAACATTGGAAACCGACGTTATGCCACGATCCACGATGGTTTTTGTAGTTCACAGCACAGCTTTTTAAGTTTTTAATGCCACTTTTTCACAATTATCACCGGTTGAAGCTGGGTTGAAGTAAATAAAACTTGAATTGAACTCACAAGATAGCAATAATTACTTTGAAAATGGACGCTATATAAACACTTTTCGGAATTAATTTAATGAGAGCGGTTTAGATTTTGAAAGATTATTATGATTTTTGAAGATTCTGACTTTGACAAGAGAAAATTATTTCTGTTTTTGTTTGCCGTTGTTCTTAGCGACCGCTATAGCAGCGCCAGATCGCGTATAACGGTCGCGACCCAAAATAATTGCGCGACCCAAAATTTTTACGGGCTTTCCAATCTAAACTTGTTGCATTTATTATATATGGAACATATACATAAACGAAACAAGTTTTCTTATCAATGGTTGCACAAATAACTTCACATAAGCTTAACAAGCTTCACATCAAAGCTTGACATAAAATCTCTTATCAATGGACATAGATGGACACTGGATGGACCAAATGATGGACACTTGCTGGACATAACTGACATAACCTAAACTTAAATTTCAAACAATTTGAAATTTAACATTTTAAACATAGATAAATTTGAAATCTGTTTTAAAGTCGTTATAATGTTGGATTAAGTACGTATTATAATTATGTGCCTGTACCAAAATACGTGTAATCAACGTCTGATACTGTGTTACTACTTGTAGGTATTCTTATGAGTGTATCATTTGTAGTAAATTTATTAGAAGTGTACAAAAACATTCTATAGGCGTGCCATAAAAATACGAAGAAGCTAATAAATAGGTTTAATCAGACCTCTACCTATTAGATCATATTTTAGATAATTGATATATGAAGAACCGGAAGAATAATGAGTACCTTCAAGCCAAAATTCATGAAACCATCAGAAACATTGAGTTTCTTGGACAGAGAGAGCTCATCATTAGAACAAACAAATTTTGTGTACAATAAACATATATCTCAGTCAATTCAAACACAGAGACAATCACTTCCCATATTTAACAACAGAAATCACATTTTGTATTTATTAGAAAAATTTCAAACAGTTGTATTAATTGGAGAGACAGGTTGTGGTAAAAGTACTCAATTACCTCAATATCTGATTGAGGCTAAATGGCCCACACAAGTAGGAATATGTGAACCAAGGAGAGTGGCTGCCATGTCTTTGGCAAATCGTGTTGCTGATGAAATGGGAACCCTTGTTCAAGGAGATCTTGTAGGATATTCAGTCATGTTTGATTCTTGTACTGTTAGACCTAAAATAAAGTATATGACTGAAGGAATTCTACTTAGAGAGATGATGTCAGATCCTTTGTTAAAAAGCTACTCTGTTATTATAATTGATGAAGTACACGAGAGAAGTCTTTATACAGATATCCTTATGGGATTAATGAAAAAGATTATAAGAAAAAGACCCGAATTAAGATTAGTTATAGCATCTGCAACTTTAAATGCGGACATACTAAAAAATTTCTTTAATAACAATTTAACAAATGACCCAAAAAATGACACATCTGTGATCATAACTATTGAAGGAAGACAGTTCCCAGTTGATGTCTTCTATGTAGCAGAACCTGTCCCTTGTTATATACAGGCATCTATTGATGCCGTTTTGAAGATTAACTCTTCTAGTGAAAGAGGAGACATTTTAGTGTTTTTGACTGGACAGGAAGAGGTACTGCAGGCAGTAAGGTTACTAATGGAACACTCCAATGATATTGAAAAAAAGCAGAAGAAAAATAAAATGACTGTGTTAGCCTTATATGGGTCTCTGCCTTATAATGAACAGCTAAAAGTATTTAAGAATGTCGAGAAAGGTTACAGAAAAGTTGTGGTGGCTACTAATGTAGCAGAAACATCAGTTACTATACCAGGAATTGTTTTTGTTGTTGATTGTGGCTTTGTAAAATTGAAGTGGTACAATATAGAAACCCATACTGATAGTTTAATAGTAATGCCAATTAGTAAGTCATCTGCTAATCAGAGAGCTGGAAGAGCAGGAAGACTTGGCTCAGGAAAAGTATTTAGACTTTATACTGAAGAATTCGCAAAGAAATTAGCTAATGATACACCCCCTGAGATAGTTAGAAGTAATTTAACCTATGTAGTACTCCAATTGAAAGCGATGGGTATTGATAATATATTGAAATTTAAATTTGTCAATTGTCCCCCTATTGAAAACTTGCGCAGTGCTTGTGAAATTCTGTTTGCACTAAATGCAATAGATATCAATTGTGAGTTAACAAATCCCCTTGGTTTCAATATGGCGGAGTTTGCACTCAATCCTCTCTATACCAAGATATTACTGTCGTCAAGTGAATTTAGATGCTCACAAGAAATTCTAACTATAATATCAATGCTTCAAGTGGAAACCGTATTTTCAAAACCAACCACTGGCATGGGCTCCATCAAGGCGAGAATTCAAAAACGACTTTTTGAAGTCGAAGAGGGTGACCTAATAACATACCTCAATATCTACAACGGTTTTATTCAAAGTGAAATGTCTCAAGGGTTTTGTCACAAAAACTATATTAATTATAAGTGTATGAAACGAGTAGTGCAAATTAGAGAAAGATTAGAGAAGATGCTCAGGAGTTATGGTGTAACTATGACTTCTGCAATAGACTCAACAGACAGTATTCGAAAGTGTTTAGTTACTGGACTTTTTCCAAATGCTGCTTACTTACACAGCAGCAATGTATATAAAACTGTACGGGGAGATATTGACCTTTATGTTCATCCAGATAGTGTTCTGTATACTATTACTCAACCTCAGTGGGTGATATTTTGTGATGTTGTTCATAGTACAAAACTATACATGCGTGATCTCACAGTGATTAAAGATGAATGGTTATTAGAGTTGGCGCCCCATTTTTATCATAAAACTAAACTAGAATAAGTATGTATTGTGAGAATAAAGTATTTTAAAATAAAAAGTGTTTTATTCTCCCTTTTCTTACAAACATCACTATTACTTCCACAAATAGTATAGACTAATAGGGGTAAGTTAACCCACGCCTATAGCACGCCTATAATAGCTTTGTATGATGTTGTTTGAATGCAGACATTTATTTTTATATATCAATATTGATTATATAAATATATCAACAGCAGCAAACTATAATTAAATTATAGGACCATACAAATACATGTTGAAGAGTTGAGTAGAGGAATGGTGGAGTTTGCTGCTTTTGATATTAGACCCGTGATATTTTAAAGGTAAAATAGTAGAAACGTGATAACTATGAAATATTTGGAAATTAAATCTAAAGCATTATATTCCTACTAATATGATATATTGTTAATTTGCGCATTAAGTTTCAATTACACACCGAAATTATACAAATATAGCAATTGCTTGGATATACCTTTAAAGACTACGGAAATAATTTAAAAGCAATTAGCGTTGCGTTTTTAAAATACTCTATATTTACTAAAAAAAATAATATTAAAAAAAATTGCATTAAATAAGTAGATTTGAGAAGAAGTTGTGTGAATTAGAGAAGATACTCAGAAGTTATAGTGCAACTACGACTTTGCACGATTCAGCTTGCTTAAAGTAGGTAATATATTTTCCAACGAACCCACAGAGAGATTTTTGGCAAAATCTTACCAGAAAATTATTAAAATGTGTTTTGTGGATAAGTCCGAGGCATCAATGATTTTGGGAGCTGTGACTTGTAAAAAAAGGCCACATCACATTGTTTTTGAGAAAAAATTTTTTGAAGAATTTATTTTTCCAAAGCAGACCTACAAAAAAATACAAGGAGTTCCAATATTCCGTAGACATTGAACAACTACCTATTATACGTATTTTTTTAATCAAAATAAGTTAATTGCACACAATTTACCTTTATACGAAAGTGCGTCGCTTGTCCATTAGAGGGCTTCAATTGGCTTCAATCAAAAATAAACAACTTTGCCTGAACGTTAATACCAGAGGTTAATACTGATTTAAAATTTATTAATTTTTTAAGCTTTTTATGAAGTTTATTGTCAAAAATTATTTGTGATACAACATAAAATTCCATATTTTCGCCAACTAGATTATTAGAGCATAATTGATTTTTTGCGCCTCCAAATATGATGATGCGACAACGAACATTTTTTGGAAGTCAGCTTTGGACAATTTTTTTTTGCCCTAAAAGTAAATTATGTGTCCAATGAACTTATTTTGATTCCAAAAATACGTGGTAGTTCTATGAAGGTTCTATGTCCACGGAATATTGGGACACCCTGTATATTAACTGATTTTGGAAATGTAGAACAAATCAGGCCAACTTTATTAACAAAAAGTTTATGTTAAAAATGTAAGGATTTTGATGAAATGTAGAATACATTTTAATGGTCAAATTTAAACCATAAAAGGTTTTGTACCTACGGGGTGAGACAAATACGTTTAAATTACCTATACGGAGGGTACCGCTTAAATTCCTGTCCCGATGTTAAAGAATGGCTATAGAATTTCAATGCATTTCCTACATAAGTCTATCCTTGTGTGGTAGGAGGTTTGACTAAACAAGGATGAACCTATGTCTTGAAACCATTTGACTCGATTTTCTGTCCTCCTTCAATGCTGAGACATAAATTCTCTCATTGCTCTTATGGGGGAGGCCGCGGTATAGGTATTTTAAACGTATTTGGGGTGAGGCAAATTTAATTTTGAATATCGGTAATTTTTGCCTGGGAACATCATCAAAGTAATTTGTATTTACTCAATCTTCCCATTTTTATTTAGATCAAAGATAAAATGTGTTTTTCCCCAGCCTGCAAATCATCGACGTATATATGCGAAGTTCGTTGGAATAAAATTTGAAAATTAATCAAATGTGCAGGGAATCCTATAAATTCGTTTCTTTAATGCATTTTACAAATCTCCGGCGTTTTTATTTAAAGCAAACTAATTTTAAAGAAAGGCATCACAAGAAAATATTATTTTTAAAATTTACTAGGCACCTGCCTATATTTAAATGTGTACCTATTAAACCATTCTGGCACTCAATACATAATTTTTGACGTTAAACTAGAACTAAATTATTGTCAACAAATATTTTTTACTGGGTAACCTAATTACTGAGAAATTTATTCTGTTCGCATTGTCAGTACGTGCTTGATATAAATGAAGAATTACGAATATATTGATTCAAATTAAGGGACATAGGGTCCCATTAATAAAACATTGTGTTAATTACTTAATTGAATTTTATCACAAAAAATTGAATTTATATTGAGATGCATTGACAGGTACAACATAAGAAAGTGCAGAAAATTTCGCTGAATATTTTATTAAAACAAAATCCAAATAAAAATCACGTACATACGTCTATACCGGGTCTGAATATTAAAATTTGGACCAGAAAAAGAATGAGTTCCCTTTTCAATCGCATACCATTCTTCCAAGCTTATCAATTTGAAGCAGTCGTTTTCTGTGGGTCGTTGGTGAACAGTAACCATGAAAATAGTATTCTATTTTACCGTGTTTCTTATTCCGATTATGGCCGAAGAGGTGCTTCAAGTAACGGCCAGGGATTCCTATTTGGACGCTTACAAAGAGTCTAGAGCAGATTTAAATAAAAGCAATAAGGAAATCAAAGTGAATAGAAAAAGCGGAGTGGTATTTCCGGTGTATCCGGGGCCATCCGGTTCTGGCTACGAACCTGAGGGTGTACAATATGGCCCACCCGCACCTCAATATGGCCCACCTGGGCCTCAGTATGGGCCACCTGGACCTCAGTATGGACCACCAGGACCTCAGTATGGACCACCGGGACCTCAATATGGTCCACCACCATCGCCGCCATACAGTCCGCCTTCCCCGTCTTATGGAGGATCTTTTGCTGAACCAGCTGGATAGTGAGTATGCAGGGTGGCATGGTGTACTGAAAAAGCTCCTCGTCAGGTTTTCTACTTGAAATTTTCACTCCAATCTATTTTTTAAAATAAGCAGACAATAGTAGCATACAGTTTAAAAATATTTTCATACAGGGTGATTCAAATATAACTTTACACTGGTTTTCTAAATGCAGTGACGTATATCTGTGTACGTTTAGTGAATTATTTGTCATAATATAAAATTACCATTCCAAAGATACAATATATCATAATCCATACCAAGTGGTTTTTGAAGTACGACCATTTTTAGATTAAATTTTCTAAATATTACATTATAGCTCTCTCCAAATTAAAATACCACCAATTATTGATGATTCTTTGCTAGGTATAAATTATGATATTCTGTTAGCCTTTTTCATACCTAATTATACTAAAATATCCAAAATTGTTACATTATGCATTTACAGCATGACTCAAAGACAATTATCGTTATGACGTTATATTCTGGGACGCTCAAATGGGACGCTTTTTTGAGAAAACTTTTTTTTGTTAAGTACTTCCTATACCCAGAATCTACATTTACTGAATATATTTTTTAAAATAACATACATTATTTGTTCTCTAGTCTTTATTAGTTCAGATTTGACATTAAGTGATATAACTAATCTGCAACACAATTAGAGAACAAGTTGAAGACGTCTTAACAATTTTTTAATAATGTTTTTTACTTAGTGACTTAATAAATACTATTTATTGTATTGATGCAGATAAAAATATAACTATAACAGACCAGAACGTTTATTTATGTCACAAAAAAATCGTGTGGAAAAATTGTCATGGTGGTAAAAAATAAAGCATTAAGTTTTGAATCACTGTGTATATAAATATATATAAATCATTATAGTCTATTTTATTATAGACAGTGGCGTAGCAAGGCGGGGGCGGTCGGGGCGGCGAACTTCCAAGTAGTTAAGGGCGACAAGAAAATGTTATAAAGGCGGCGGACGGATTTTGTAGGGGCGGCAAACCTCCCTCATAGAGGTTCTCCGCCCCGGGCGCCTCTAACTCACGCTACGCCACTGCATAGGTTTGAAAACGACATTATAATAGTATATTTTCAATTAAAAAAGGTAAAGAATTGGGTATTTTAAAACGTTTGGAAAGCTTTGTCGAAAATTTAGTCTAAAAATTGTCATGGATATTTCGAAAACCGCTTATTATAGATTACGACATTATGATATTTTGGAAATAAGAAATGAATGGCAAATCTACTGAGATAAAAATATAGCATACCATTAAAGGACAAAACATTCGTGTATAAATATATCTGAATCACACCCCGTACATCTTTGAAATATTTTTAATGTGCCCTACTATTGGCAAAATAGTCCCTACTATTGGCAAAATAGTCCCTACTATTGGCAAAATAGTTTGTTAAAAAAAGATTGACGCATATCAAATTAAAAAAAATGATATAGTGCTTTTTGGGAGTAAATGGGTTAATAGACGTAAAAACTTTTTATTATAAATAGTTTATACAGGGTGTCCCAATATTCCGTGGACATAGAACTACTACGTATTTTTGGAATCAAAGTAAGTTTATTGGACACAGTTTACCTCTAACAAATGTGCTTTGTTTGTCCCCCAGAGGGCATCAAACTTCCAAAAAATTAACACATTTTTTCAGATATTTTAAGAACCGTTATTCCGATTTGAATGAGATTATGTGTGTCTATGTTTTGCCAAGTGCTTTAACATTTGGCTTTTACAAAAACCAAAAACTACGGGAAGGGTAAAAACTACCCCCACCCCTACATAAATTTTAGTATAAATATTTTCCAACTCCACCGACGACAGCTTTTCTTTCCGTAATATGGTCCCTGTAGTATATACTACATTTTTTGTCCCTTGTAAAAAAACGCTAAGTCGCGCGTCGCATAGTTGTTGAGAAAAAAATTAAAAATAAGTGAATTGCACATAATTTACCGTTATACAAAAGTGCTTTGTTTGTTCGTTAGAGGGCATCAATCAAAAATAAACCCGAACGCTAATTAATTTAAAAATTATTATTTTTTTAAGCGTTTTATGAAGCTTATTATGAAATATAAATTTTCATACTAACATAAAATTCCATATTTTCGCCAACTAGACTATTAGAGCATAATAGATTTTATGCACCTCCATAGCTTGATGTGACAAAAAACATTTTTTGGATGTCAGTTTTCGAAAAAAAATCCTCAAAAAGTATGCGCGATGGCGTTTTTTTACAAGAGACAAAAAGTGTAGTAAATTCTAGAGAGACCATTTTACGAACAATAAATCGGTCTTCAGTAGACTTAGAAAATATTTCTACTAAAATTTATGTAGGGGTGGGGATAGTTTTCACCTTTCCCGTACTTTTTCTTGGTTTTTATGAAATTCAAATATTAGAACACTTAGCAAAACATAGACATCCAAAATATTATTCAAATCGGAATAACGATTTTTAAAATATCTGAAAATATGTGATTATTTTTTTATCGTTTGGTGCCCTCTAGCGGACAGACGAAGCACTTTTGTATAGAGGTAAATTGTGTCCAATAAACTTATTCATTTATGATTCCAAGACTACGTAGTAGTTCTATCTCTACGGAATATTGGGTCACCCTGTATACAACACATATACAGGGTGCTACAAATTCGAGGTACGAGCATTGGTATCTCGGTAACCGTAATAGATACGAACATGGTTAAATTGGCGCAAAGTTGCGTATTGGGGTGTTCACCAAGATGCCATCAAAAAAGATTTAAAAATTTCAAGGAGTGCTTAGTTTTTTGGAAAAACTGATTTTTTTTGAAAATCAATTTTATTTTTTCCTTTCGTTAGTTTATAGATTAGGTTAGTTAGGTAAAGAGCAGTCTACTATATATGGCGCAGAGACTTGGCGAATAACGGAAGCCAACCGAAGAAAACTGGAAGCGGTAGAAATGGATGCCTATAGAAGAACCTTAGGCATTTCCCGAAGAGATAGAGTCCGAAACGAAGAAATCCGACAGAGAATAGGAATAGACGGATCATTGGCAACCGACATCGAACGCCAACAACTTGTGTGGTATGGATACGTTCAGAGGATGGGTCATCCAAAACAAATTATGCAATGGACACCCCAACATCGAAGAATCTCAGTGTGCGATCTAATAATAATATGCATAATATTAATCGTAGTTATTATACATAAATCAACTTCTACAAACTAGTTTCTAATGTTCTACATGTTCAAAAGGGTTACCACGACCCTCTCTATTGCAAAAATTTATTTTTCGCTCCGTTTTATTTATAGCTCTTTGAACTTTTTTCTTATACTTCCGAATGCATTTTGTACTCGTTATTGTAAATTTTGAGAAGAATTGATTTCACTTTTACAAGTGACGTCATAAATAATGTAGCCCCTTGGCAATTATAGGTCCAGGAACCTCGTTGGACATTATACTGCTCTACCATTTCTAATACAACTTCCGGGAAAATGATTTGATTGTTTATATTATAATATTATAGCTATATTAATTATCTTATATTATTTTATTGCATTTGATTTTCCGTATTCAATGTTTTACCGCACGTCATTATTAAGTTTGAAAGCTTGTCAATATTGTAACGATGAATAGATTAAATATTAAAAAAAAACAGAGCCGGACTTGAAATTATGGTTTAAATAAATTGTATTCAAATGTCAAAACAAAAAAATATTAAGTGTGGCATATCATTGTACTCAGAAGACCGAGTTCTTTCAAAATCTGAAATAAAAAATGTAGGTCCGTATTTAAAAAAATTAAGTTCGCCTCTGTATCTCAAAAATTATCAGCTAATTTGAAAATCTAAAAATACTATCAGATAGCCCTAATAAAGTGGCTACGAGAATGTGCAATTAGTTTTTTGATTTTCTAAAAAGTAACGACAGGAAAAAATAAATTTAATTTTCAAAAAATCAGTTTTTCCCAAAAAAACTCAGCAATCCTTGAAATGTTTATAACTTTTTTGGTGGCATCTTAGTGAACATCCCAAAGCGGCAACTTTGCCCCAATTTAACGTTTAATGTTCGTATCTATTACGGTTACCGAGATACCAAAGCTCGTACCTCGAATTTGTAGCACCCTGTATATACACACTTTTACTTAAAATTAAAATTACTTTTCCTACGGCCTAGTCGCCTAGTAGATACATAATTGGATGATTTATATTTCATATTTTGGAAATTACGCATACATTCAACAGTAACTATAAAAGTAAATTTTAGCCCTCCAGCACCTGTTTATGGCTCTCCCCAAAATCTTCAAGTATTTTACGGAGTGCCGCATGCCATGGTTAGCATATGGGACAAACTTTGGGAGAAAATCAAATGGAAATTGGACCTGTTCACTTTAGGAAAAATTCTGCTCAAATTGGTCATCTTTAAGAAAATCGTCAGTTTAATCGCAATTTTGTGCCTTCTACTTTTTATACCATCATTAAAGCACAAAAAATTATTCCCAAGCGGCGATCACGAAGAAAGAAGTAGCGAAAAAGGTCCGTACACAATATTTAAATAAGTTCAATTATTATCCTACTTATTATTAATTATAGTGCTTATTTATCGCATTTACATTTTATTTTCAGATCCCTTAAATGAAATTACATCCTTTGTGACTGGTGCTATAGACCATTACAATAATATGAACAGGAAAGATTTAGGGCCTACAAAGACATACAAACAGAAAACTAGATAAAATGTAAGTTGCTTAGTATCTAATTAGTTGAAGAGTACAGGGTGTTACACTTTCGTGTATGAGTAGTATGACAGAGAAATACAAAGATGCGGTTTTCACATCACTATGCTATTTTTTTATGCAACTAAAGATGCTATACACAGATTTGTCCTAGCACTCTTAATTCCTGAAATGAACTGAACTCATCTGGCCTCGGCGAGTGTGTACTACTGGCATAAGATTTTTATATAATTTTATTTTTTTTATACCTGTATGATTGAAAAAAAAAACGGTGTCTAGTTAGCCGGGAAATGACGATCGATGACATTTCCCACATAAAATGACAGCGATCTTCATTTCATACCCATCGCTGACACCGTTTCTTTTTCAATCATACGGTATATATTTTAGCAAAACTAAACCAAACCAAACTGATAAAAATAAAAATTTCAAAGTTTTTTTATTTACTCGGTTTATTTCCAAGATAAAATGTCTCTTGCAACTTTCTCCTATCTAATACCATTTTATCCAATTTACCAATAAAAAACTTTATTGTTAATAATTGAATTCTTAGTTTTAAGGTAGTTATAATAATTCGCTGTATTTAAGGTTCTAATTAATAAATTTATTTATTTTTAAATTGTGACAAAATGGTGTTAGATAGGAGAAAGTTACAAGAGACATTTTTTCTTGAAAATAAACCGAGTACCTAAATAAAAAACTCTGTAATTTTTATTTTTATCAGTGATATACTGGTTGAAACTAAAATCTCTTCTTTTTACATTTAAAGTGTCTTGGTTAGGTAGACTCCTATAATAAAATTTTATAACGATACCTTCAACTGTTAAAAAACTAGTAAAGAATATCTTTATTTTTCAAAAACTTTAACACCCTGTATCTTACGTAAGAGTCATTTCCTACCCATAGTGTGCTATATCAAAATTAATATTTCGACGTCCCCTATGATTCCCCGAAAGTATGACCGACTTACAGGAATCACCCTGTATATATGATTTTTATATTTCTTTTTAAAATGGTCATTAATAATTTCTATACCTTTGTCAAAATGATACTGCATAACATAACATAGATAAATGCAACAAGTTTATTTTGGAAAGCCCGTAAAATTTTTAGGTCGCGAAATTATTTTGGGTCGCGACCGTTATACGCGATCTGGCGCTGCTATAGCGGTCGCTAAGAACAACAGCAAACAAAAACAGAAATAATTTTCTCTTGTCAAAGTCAGAATCTTCAAAAATCATAATAATCTTTCAACATCCAAACCGCTCTCATTAAAGAAATTCCGAAAAGTGTTTATAGCGTCCATTTTCAAAGTAATAATTGTTATCTTGTGAGTTTAATTCATGTTTTATTTACTCCAACCGGTGATAATTGTGAAAAAGTGACATTAAAAACTTAAAAAGCTGTGCTGTAAACTGTGAACTGCAAAAACCACATCGTGGATCGTGGCATAACGTCGGTTTCCAATGTTTCATAGGTATTTCATACATGCGTCCTTATATAAAATAAAGTTTCTTGTATGCAACACATTGTATTTTATTTATAAAATTAAACGAAAATAATAATAAATTTGAATAGACAATATTTGGCGATATAATTCCGGAAAAAGCCGAACCGCTCCGAAATTTTCAAAAGTTTTGGGTCGCGACCGTTGCAAGAATAGCGCCAAATAGTGTTTACATTGTCCCATAGATAAATGAAACAAGTTTAGATTGGAAAGTGCCCATAAGGACAATGTAAACACTATTTGGCGCTATTCTTGCAATGGTCGCGACCCAAAACTTTTGAATATTTCGGAGCGGTTCGGCTTTTTCCGGAATTATATCGCCAAATATTGTTTATTCAAATTTATTATTATTTTCGTTTAATTTTATAAATAAAATACAGTGTGTTGCATACAAGAAACTTTATTTTATATAAGGACGCATGTATGAAATATCTATGAAACATTGGAAACCGACGTTATGCCACGATCCACGATGGTTTTTGCAGTTCACAGCACAGCTTTTTAAGTTTTTAATGCCACTTTTTCACAACTATCACCGGTTGGAGTAAATAAAACTTGAATTGAACTCACAAGATAGCAATAATTACTTTGAAAATGGACGCTATAAACACTTTTCGGAATTAATTTAATGAGAGCGGTTTAGATTTTGAAAGATTATTTGATTTTTGAAGATTCTGACTTTGACAAGAGAAAATTATTTCTGTTTTTGTTTGCCGTTGTTCTTAGCGACCGCTATAGCAGCGCCAGATCGCGTATAACGGTCGCGACCCAAAATTTTTACGGGCTTTCCAATCTAAACTTGTTGCATTTATCTATGCATTGTCCTTATGGGCACTTTCCAAATGATAACATAATTACTTTTCAGATTGAAGCAACATGTTTATTATCTATTGGATAAATCCATAAGTTGCCGCCCATTTTCCTATGTTGTTTATATGTACAAACATGACTAAATTATAACTAGATGATTTTGTAACAATTCAAGTAGTATCCTTAAACTTTTCTAGAGAAATATTAAAAACTGTATAAAAAGAGTATTAATCAACCTTCTAATATTTTAACAATATCTGTCCACTGAGAGAATATGCGATTTTGTTAGACAAGATCCAAAAATTGATAGAAATAACAATTCCAAATAAAAATAAAATGACAAGTGTCATGTTTAATATTTCTCTCGTTGCACAGATATTGTGAAGGTTTTTTTAATAGATTAATCAATATTTATATTCTATTATTTATGGTAGCAGTCAATATGTTTTTTAACTGCAAGCTTTCTTCTACAATTCTACTTGTATTCCAAACTTAAGTTAAGTATTTATTAAAATAAATGATTTATTTAACTTGTTTAACTTTTATTTTGCATTAATAAAAAATTGTTTTTTCTCTTTTAGATTTTATTAATTATTAATTCATTAGGTAGACTCTTCAGTAACTACCTAATAACATCATCATTAATTAGCAATATCACTATAATTAAAAAAAATATGGTTCTTGTGTTGGTACACATTCTATATATTCAACTTAGAATTAAGGTTTACATGTAGTTAGAGTAAAACAAGTACCACATGTTAAACTATTTCCTTTAAAGGTATATTTGAGAATATTAAGTTATTAAATTAAATTTCACTAATTTAAATTATAAAACCAAATAAATATAAATTATTGATTGTAATTTTTTACTCTGTACCTAATGAAATAATAAATTAAAAAGCAAACCATTTATTACACATATGGGTTCCAATTACTGCCATCTTCAGGTATCAAGTTATTTGTAACCAATAATACAATGTCTACAATCCACCATATTCCCAGTCCTCCTAAAGTTAATAGTTTACCAACAGCTGTCCCTGTTTGTCCAAGACAAAACCTATCCATGCCGAGAAAGCCCAACAAAATGCTGTACAGCAATGTCGTAGTAAAATAATGGTTTGAGTATCGAACACAGGGTACACCAGGCTTCAAAAATGTTCTATTCCCATAACATTCAATTTTATCTAAAGCTCTACAAATCGTTTGTGTCTTTGCTACATCATCATATTTCATGCCTCCAAACTTTAGACATCCATATCCGAGTTCTTCCAAGGCAGTTTTGTTACCTTTATGATCAACAGGATCATCACAGTCTATAAATTCCCAAGAGAGATAGGAACACTTTATTAGAGGTCCTAATGGATTGAATTTTTCTGTTTGGTTTTCATTGTCGGAATCAGCTTCAATGACAGTGAAACTAAATAAGAGTATTGCTGTTAATATGTAGACCATGTTACATATACCTAAGTATATTTCTTCACATTTCAATTATCTTCATTTATATAGAGTAGTCTAAACTTATTCTATTTTCTATTGCAATTTCCTAGATAATTACTAATTTGTCGGGTTAGCGTCCCCACACTCCCCACTTGGGACATAAAATCAATTTGTTTATAACAAAGGTTTAGTTAGGTTATTAAATTTTGATTTCACACTTCTGTACCAATGAATAAAATTCAATGTTCTGTACATCAATTATTTTCTATGTTTAGTATTTTTGTTTCAGAGGAAGAAAACTTTGAAGAAAATAAAAAACATAAATTTGAAAAAAACATGAAATTGAAATAGTTTGATCAGCTGATCAGCTAACAAGATCAGCTGATTTTTTTTTAAAAATATGGAATATTACCATAGATCTAGTTATTCTAATTACCTAGTTACTAACATTATGACCATAGACAAGGAATACTAAATATCATATATTTTTTAATCCGTGGTTTTTGTTTTATGGAAATTTATATATGAAACAGGGATGTGAGTGGTGAGTGAGCAGATTGTGAAAAAAAGGTTGAAATCAAAGAAAGAAAAACTCATTCTCATTCGTACCCTTTGAAAAAGTTCGTACCGAATGAATGGTGATGTGAATACACACTGTATTTTGTTTTTATGTAAAAACAATCTAAACACGACAAAAACTGTAAAAACAATCTGAAAAACGAATAAAAACAGAAGAATTACATTTCTCTTCATATTCAGAATATACCTATTTTACAATGTTTTTACTCTATTTTTGATGTCTTCCTAAATTTTAATTTCTTTACAGAATTAAAAGCATATTTATAAACAATAAAATCAGAAATAAATGAAAAATATTTTTATCGGGAGTTTTACTAATCTGTGAACGTAGATTTAGGGTTTCTTATGTTTATGACTGCAAAAAACTATGTTTTTTATAAGACAAAAACACCTTTTTAGGAAGTTTTTTCCCAAGTTTTTTCCGTCCCTGATAAAAGACAATTCATCGATCATAGACAACATCGATAAATGTAGCTCAATACTACCAAGAAGTGCCTATCTAGAATATTTGTCAATTAGGGAATTCCATTTTTTTTGGTTTTTGTAATATTGGTTGGTGAAATTGTAATGGTTTTGTCTTGTCTTTTTGTCTAATGTAATTTTTAATCCTAAATACTGGAAAAATAGTAATTTTGTGCTGAGATTTTGAGATTGATTATATTTTGATATAACGAAGTAGTAAATGTTGTTTACTGGATAAATATATCAGTATTTAACATGTTTAATTAGTGACAAAAAACACTGAATTATTTTGTTTAGCTGGTCACAGGAACGTGTTGCTATTTGCTATTAGCAGTCGAGTAGGTATTGCTATTGCTAATGTTTATTTTCTTGACCTGGGTTAAGACCCATGTTTGGTTTTAATGAAAATAGAGGCAATATTATATTTGGACGTTTAAATTAAAAGTGAAGATGGGTTTAAAATATACTGTAAAGACTATAGGAGTGGTTCTGATATTTCAACTTTTATTTCATGGTAAGTAGTTTTTAAAAATTCATTCTATTTTCTGCTAATTTATAATATAGAAAAACAAGTCTCACAAAATCAGCGTCCAGTTGGCTTGGAAATCACGATTGATGACATTCTTCATATAATTTTACATATAAAAGACAGCGATCTTAATTTCATAGCCATCGTTGACGCCGTTTTTTCCGATCATATTTATATAAACTAATAAACTGCTAAAATCCGATATTTTTATTGAATCTGTATAGAAAATTTTACATATTTACTGTGCCTAATATCGACTGTACCCATGAAACATTTAATATTTTTAATAGCAGTTATTATACTAAAAAAATACTTTAGCTTTGTGACTTAAGAAATATCGATTGATGTTTTTATGGATGTAATACTGTATGATCGAATAAAAACGCCGTCCAGTTGGCTTGGAAATGAACATTGATGACATTCCCCATATAATTTTACATATAAAATGACAGCGATCTTCATTTCATAGCCATCGCTGACGCGATTTTTTTCGATCATGTTGTATTTTTTACCTATTTCAGAACATATTGTTGATGCATCTGTGGTACCATTGTCTTTGATGGTAACAACAAAATGTGAATTTTACAACAGTTCTTGTACACCTGGTACTTGTAATGAGGTAGTTGAGTGTGACGTTCCCGGGGAAGGAAAAAGGAATCATTGCTTTGTTTTATGGTCTTATGAACCTAATGGTACAGCCAATGTTTCCCTCAAGGTTACTGTTCATTATGTTGCTTTATTAACAAGCTAAATAAAAGAAAACATTATTTTGCAGGGGTGTTTTTTAAATTCAGAGGACTGTTATGGCCAAAGATCGTGCGTTGATAAAACATTCAGCCCTAAAAACAATTTTAATTACTGTTGTTGTGAAGGCGATATGTGCAATGCCAATTTTAGTTGGGTACCAGTACCAACTGAACCACCACCACCTAGTAGTAAGTTTATTCCTTTTTCTATATACGCAGATATAATGGCTAAGATTTTTTTAACCGTAATGTTATATTTTAGCTGCAGTTCCAACTGTTGAAGCATCTAATACTATTTATTACGTAATCGGGTCTATTGCAGTAGGCTTATTATTGCTATTGTCCATTGTATGTTTCCTCTTTTGGAAAAGTCGGGATAAGCGCTACTTTAACGGGGTAATTATATTTTACTTTTTATTTTATGGAATTTATTGAGTTAATTGAAATGTTTTTATGAATGTAAATAGTGTTAAAGAGTATTACACAGTAACAGACCATCATTTAATTTTCCATATTTTTGATATGGTTTGGTAAAGTTTTTTGAATAAAAAAATACTCTAATTAAAAAAAAATAGTGTCCTTGATTACTTTAAGGATAAGACAGTTTAGTTTAAAAAATAATTTTCAGTATCAGTTTTAAGTTTTACTGTAGAAATATATTTGAATTGCTTGCTATATCTATGAATATTTACTGTTAAATTGAATTCTATTATTCCTCACTTGAGGTAAAATCTTAAATGGAAAACCTCTTACAGAGCTTTTTCATAATACATATGAATCATTTGTTTCGTAAAATAAATAATATAAAAATTAGATTTAGTTTCTACATCTTTTGTGTAACATTAATACTATGAATATTTCAATTGATATTTCTTTTATAATTTCCATGCATTCAGTGGGGTGTAAGTGGATACAATCTTTTTAAGGTAGTGAAATTAGTTTTGTTTATACCTAAAAAAACATATTTTAAAATGTTTTTAATATTATTTAGTTGCCAACTTCAGAACCCCATCCATTACCACCTCCATCTCCAGCTATGGATCAAAGACCTATTCAGCTTCTTGAAATCAAAGCTAGGGGTCGTTTTGGTGCAGTATGGAGAGCTCAGTTCAAAACTGAAGAAGTTGCTGTAAAAATATTCCCTATACAGGTAATTATGAGTTTGTACTATTGATGATTCATTTCAATGAAAAAATTGATTTTACAATATGTTTACATAAGAAAAATTCGATAAGGTTGTTTTTTACATTCAAAAATTGTAAACAATCCATCCATTTACTTTTAGAGCATAGCAATTTTCAGCAATCGTATAATTTTTTTATTGATAAAGATTTTCACATACTGTCTACTAAGAAAATACAGCAGAAATATTAACAAAGTTCTTGAAAAAACTACAATCTATTATTTCTAATAGATTTCGAGATATCGATTTTTGAATTCAGAGTTCTAATAGCGCGACCACTATCGAACACCCACTCAATTCTACTTATTTATTTTTACCAAAAATGCAAGTGTTTCTAGTTTGCACTTAAAAAAATTCAAGCTATAGGGAAAATTACAACGACTCGTTAATAAATAAACAAATCAAGTATCACGAGACGTAATTAAATCGTGAAGCTGAACGCATGACGTACACCTTTCCCTACAACTTTAAGTACTGACAGAGGTAGAGGTATTGATTGGGTCGACCGGTCAACTGCGACAAATCTGCTATATCCCCTTCCACGTCTCTTAGTGATGTGCACAGTTTCTTGGTTTATTTCATACGTTTGGCAACGTGTTTACTGTCCTCTCTTTGTTCTTACATACGGAAATCTCGACCCAAGACTAACCTTTGCCAGCCCTTAGTATATGTATGTAAGCTAAATATAATCTATTACAGCTGTAGTAAAATGAGTAACTAATTAAAAAATAAAGTTCCAAGTTCCAACCCTAAATGCAACATTTTTCGCATATGCCTAGTTGTGCGGTTTAAAATTTTGATGCAAAATCCGGCAATATCGCATAGAAGAAATGTATCAACCCAACTTTTATCTCTTTTTAATACATTTGATTTTTCATTAAACTGTCTATATCACTGTTTTACATGTTAAAATCCAGGCCATGCAGTTTCGATGACCAGATTAGTATATTAGCGCGACACTTGAAATTGTTAATGATGTGGAGTTTCATCTCTGGCAAAACAAAACACTAATTCATTACAATACACCAAAACATTTTACTTTTGCACTGAACGCGCGCAAGTATGGTGTTTTGGTGTATTGTGATGATTTAGTATTTTATTTTGCTGTTGTAACACCAAAGGTTCCAATCTCTGGGCCCAAATTCTGTAACTTTGACATAAAAACGTTAAGCTTTCAAAGCGGTGAGCGAAAGTATGCGATTAGCGGAACGCCAAGCAGCCGATTTTGGTATTCTCGTTGCCGTGCGAATCGATTTTTGGGTTCCGTACCCAAAGGGTAAAAATGGGAACCCTATTATTAAGACTTCGCTATCCGTCCGTCGGTCACAAAGGTCTATCTTATGAACTGTTATAGCTAGACAGTTGAAATTTTTACAGATAATGTATCTATGTTGCCGCTATAACAACAAATACTAAAAACAGAATTAGATAAATGTTTATAAATAAAAAAGTACTGTAGTGGCAGGTTCGAATCCTAGTCAAAGTTTTTTAATTTTTACATATTGTCAAGAAAAATGGCGCATCCGCCAGAAATTAAAAATGTATTACTGGTTGCCTGCACAACCGCAACGTATCCGCCAGAAATTAAAAGACTTTTTCAGGCGCCATCTTTTAGTCAAGTCGAGAAGTAAGGGAATCAGACAATAGAATTGTCTGGTATGAAGAAGTACGCTTTCCGAGAATTGGGAAATTTCGAGAAGCAGTCAATAGAGTATATAAGCGGAGCCATCGACAACTGAGACAGTTTTGAAATTTGAATATACCGCGTGGACATTGAAAATCGGACAATTTGGTGAAGGAATCTTATAAATAGTTAGTTTGTTGTGTGTTATAAGTTAGTAATTGTGTATAAAGTGAGAAAATAAATTCGTTAAGTATTTTATCGTGAGTTTAAATTAGTGGACCCACGGAATCCGTAACAATTGGTGTCAGAGTGTGATTCAAGAGGATTTTAAGAAGAAATTAAGTGGATTGGACGATTTTTACACCGAATTTGGGAATTTTTATGGTTGGTACGAGACAGCAAGCGAAGAAAATGGAGGAAGTAAGCAAATTATTGGGCGATTTTATGGAGAATATGAGAAGAGAAAAGGCAGAAGAACAAGAGAGGCTGAGAAAAGAAAAAGCAGAAGAGCAAGAAAGACTCCGTAAAGAACGAGAAGAAGAGCGAGCCCGACTAGAAAAAGAGAAAGAAGAGGAACAAGACCATCTACAGAAAATACTTATGGAAAATCAAGAGAAAATGTTAGAAGGTTTAGAAGCCCGTCAAAAGAAAGAGAAACAGGAAGAACAGGACCGGCTTGAAAAAATTTTCCAAGATTTGAAAATTCAACGACAACAAGACAAAGAAGAAGAACAGGACCGGCTTGAGAAAATTTTAGGCAATTTAGAAATTCGTCAGAAGAATGAATGGAGGGAAATTTTAGAAGATATAGAAACGCGCCGCCAGAAAGAAAGACAAGAAGATCAGGACCGTTTAAGAAAACTTTAGAAAATCAAGAAATTCGACTTCAGAAAAGCTTGGGGGAACAGCAACAAGCAATGTTGGAAGAACGTTGCCAGGAACAGCAGAACCACTTCCAAGAAGCCGTAGAAGATCTGGAGGAGCGCCTTCAGCAGAAGATAGAAAAGTTGGAGATGGACCTACAGAAGACCAAGGTACAAGTAAGGACACCTGGCGTTCCGGGAACTGCGAACCTTAAAGCCCCGACCTACGATGGACAAACGACATGGACGATGTACCACCGCCAGTTTGAAGCAGCGGCTGCTGCCAATGGATGGACTGACCAGGAGAAAGCAGCGGCACTTGTCATCGCGCTGCGTGGCCCTGCCCTGGAACTCCTGCAAACTATTCCTGCAGCCCAACAGCAGGAATACCAAACTTTGGTCGCTGCACTGGACAGAAGATATGGCGACCAACATCGACGCCAACTTTCCAGGCAAGCGGATCAAGTACGCCTGCAGACCTCCGGAGAGAGTCTGCAGGAATTTAGGAAGCAGACTTACGTCGCCTGGTACACTTAGCGTATCCAGAAGCACCGGAAGGATTTAGGGAGGAACTCGCTGCTCAGTGCTTTATCAGCGGACTGAGGGACAACGAATTACAGAGGGCGCTGCAAATATCCCGATTTTCTACCAGCAGCGAAGCACTGATCAGGGCGCTGGAAATCGAAGCTGCTTTTAGCGCCATCCCTAGACCGAAGATAAGATCGGTAGCGGTCGAGGAACAGCCCGAAAACACTCACAGAGGTTTGGAGGAGATGTGTAAGAAAGTCGACAAACTATGTGAGCTACTAATAAACAAGGGAGTCAGCAACACCCAGACAGAAAACCAGAGAAGATTCCAGGACATAAGGTGCTTTAGAGGTGGCAGGAATGGCCACATTAAACGGTATTGCCGCGTTCAAATGCGATCCCGTTCACCATCCAGAGAACGTAGGCACCAGGAAAACTAAAATCAGTCAATACTAAGGGGCGAGTATTGACTGGGGAGAACAGAGCCCCAAGGATTTTTTCCATTAGAAATCTAGGAAGAACCGCTGACAGTTTGGTGATCGACGGGAAAGTCAATGGAAAGGGAATCCGAATGACAGTGGACACTGGCGCTATGGTTTCGTTGGTGCGGGCTAACTCAGTGCAAGGATTGAAGCTGGTGCCTCTGAGAAGAAGAGTGTGTTTACGTACAGTTACGGGGGAAATGGCCGTTGTACGGAGAGGCTATCGTCGAACTGAAGTTAGGAAATTTGAAGTTCCAGCATAGCGTTTTAGTGGCAGATATTGAAGATGACTTCATCTTGGGCATGGATGTGATTCGTCAACATGGATTTTCGTTCGATCACCAGAGAAATATCTTAAATATTGGAAATGAAGAGTTCATGTTATCTCCAGACGAGGACCAGGAAGAATGGATGTAAGATCAGCGGAAACTGTGGTGATACCTGGTAATACCGAGAAGATCGTATTCGGTAAAGTGGAGAAAATCGCTGGGTGCTGTGTTGGACTGGTACAAAGTGTCGACAAGAAACAAGATAGGTACTTAGTAGGAAAATCATTGGTGAACACCGACAAGAATATACCGATCAGAGTTGCGAATGTTTTCCCGAATTGTGTCAAGATTCAAAAAGGTGACAAGATAGCCATCTGCGAACCTGTAAGAAGTGTCAACCCGATGTGATCAGTGCCGTCAGCTGTTACACAAATGACATCCAAAGAAACACTAAAACATCTAGAGCAGCCATGGGATCACCTAACATCTGAGGAGAAACAGAAGGCTAAGGAGTTCCTGTTTAGGCATGGCAGTATTTTTGAAAAGAACAACAGTGGAAGAACAGATTTTGTGAAGCACCGGATTAAAACTGGTCATGCCCAGCCTATTCGACAACGTCCTAGAAGGGTGCCCCTTTCCAAACAACAAGAAATGGAGACCATGGTAGATAAGATGCTAGAAGATGGAGTTATCGAAGAATCATCGAGTCCATGGTCATCTCCTGTTGTTTTGGTGACGAAGAAAGATGGTAGTACACGATTCTGCGTGATTATAGGAAGCTCAATGACGTCACTAAGAAAGATAGCTACCCACTGCCACGTATAGATGACACATTAACAACTCTAGCAGGTTCAGTGCTGGTTCTCCACTCTCGACTTAAAGAGTGGATACTGGCAAGTTGGTCTGGACGAGGACGATAAAGAAAAGACGGCTTTTTTCTACAGGAAACGGACTATACCAATTCAAGGTCATGCCGTTTGGATTATGCAATGCTCCAGCCACTTTCGAACGTCTCATGGAGGTGGTGTTAAGAGGATTAACTTGGAAAACGTGCTTGGTTTACCTCGACGATGTATTGGTTATGGGAAGAACTTTTGAGGAGCATTTGCGAAATTTAGAAGAAGTCTTTGGCCGCATACGGAATGCTCACCTGTACTTGAACCCGAAGAAGTGTAGCTTATTCCAGCGACAAGTGGAATTC